TCAATAGCGCTATGTAATAGTCGCTGGCTCTTTGGTTTTTTCCTCTTCGAAAGATAGTCGATGAATATTATACCATGCGCATCCCAAAATATCAATATCGTAACCTTGCCAATCGATTGTTGCGTCTTTGCACGCTTCAAAGTCGGTCAGCCACGTGCAATCTACTCAGATGAGGATCGTTTTAGCTTTGGTGTGACATGATGCAGCCATGTTCCATTCATTGTCATATATTGATGTATAAATTCGAGTTTTCATGGTGGAAAAGCTTCAAACACTGCTCAAAATCATCAATTCGTTGTTGTTTTTGGTCAAGTGTGAGCTCGCGCGGCTCTCATTGTGAACAGAGTTTTATTATACACGAATATTTAAGCATGATATGTCAAACACGTTCTTTTAATATCTTTAGAGTATCCGCTATCTCAATCAACTTCATTTTGAGATAATCCAAAATTATTTTGTGGACTTTTTTGACGTTTTCGTCGGTAACAGCTTCTTTGAGGCGTCCACTGCGTGTACCGTCGTCGGTACTCATTTCACCTCGTTCAAAATTAGCAAAACACTTCTCAACGGTTGATTTTTCTGATGCAAAGTCCGAATAATGTTCAACAAGCCAAGCATTGGCTTCAACAGTATTTTTTTCTCCGAATAGCAATGCTTCAATAACACACGAAATTCCTCTTAATCCATTTTCTCCAGACTAACAGAAGTTGCTTGACTCAAAATATTCTATCCCGCAAACTAATACTTCGACAGCTGCACACGTTTCTTTTGAAGCTTACGGTTAACTGAAAATTAAACGGATTTGAAACTAGTCGCGCCATCTGGGTGTTAGCCTACAAACCTGAAAGTTTACTTACAGGTTTGAGTTTCTCTCTTTTCTTACGTACGTCGTTAGTTATTTACTGACAATTTTTTTCTTTATACTGGGGTTACATTTGACTCATGTGAGGTACTTCAGACCAAAGAATTTGGAATATTACAGATTCTGTCATCTGCCACATTCAATCAAGAATACTCAGACTACATTACTGGAAATATTTTTATTCAAAAAGTTTGTAGGTAATATTTGAACGTTTATTCATCGAAAACCTTTCCGTTCGGTATTCAAACTTCAATTCGTATCCTTTTGATCTATGCAAGGAAAGTGAAGCCGAGAATGTGGTAAGTAAACACACAATTTTTTTAAATATTAACTTTTCTATTATTGATTGTTTATTCAAATAAATGCACAGTTTCAATTTATTCATGAATTATAATTCAAAAATTATTCTGTCACGGCACCACCCCAAAGGTGTAACGAAAAAATCAGCAAACTCTTGCCTAATATCTTTTGCTTCAGTTGCTGCATTTCGTGTAACTTTTTTGTATGGAGTAAACGTATTACTCTGAGTTTCTCTTCTCTACGATCCTTCTAAAACACGTCCTGTATCTTCATCTCTACCGTCATATGTACCTGGGAGATTGTAAGAATTTCTAGATCCTGAACTATTTAAAAAATTATGTAAATGCAGGCCATAACAACAACTTCTGCAGTTTCTGGTTCTATAAGTAATGGTTTTCTAAATATTCTAAAAATCAAAGATAACATTTCCAAAAACATTTTCTGGTATTCTTCTCGCTCTACTGAGACGGTAATTGAATATCCTTTTGGAAGACCCTTTGTTCTGAGGCTCAGGGTAGGGTTTCAGTAAATTTGGTGATAATGGAAAGGCATCATCCCCTAAAAATACGCGAGGGACTAATTTCTCACGTCCTGGTGAAGAGCTATATTCTGGAAGGTTGAGTTTGCAGCGAGTTAATAGTTTTTTGAATAATGTATTTTCGAAAACTCCTCCATCATATATTCTCCTTTGGGAGCCTACATGAAAATACAAAAATCGGTAATTAGCATCCATGACGCCGAACAGAACGACGCTAAAAAACGATTTGTAATTGAAGAAATTACTTCCACTGTTTTTTGGTGCTTGTATAGCAATATGCTTGTCATCCATGACGGCTACACATTTCGGAAAGTTCCAAAGAAACCATAAGTAATTGTTTCCCATTCTTGAGCAGTTTTAGGCATCTGAAATACAAAGATATCCATACTGTAATTACTAAAAATGTAGTAATTACATTTTATACAACGTATTTTTCTTTTCAGGATGACCTTAATGACCCTTCCTCCGAAACTGACTTACATTATTCACAAGTAACAGACTGTGATGAATGTGGAAATAAGACCCAAGAATTTCAAGATGTAGAAAATGGCAACCAAGGCCTGGAAGACTTGTCTAACGATGATTTTCAAAAGCCATCAACATCTAACGCTGCTTGTCAGAAGCCTTCGGCATCTAACAAAGCCTCTCAAGAGCCTCGTAAGGAAACCGTGAAAAATCCGAACAGCACAAATCTTGATGAATTCAAACACCCTAATGTTACGTTTCAATTTAGCACTAGATCAAAACTGCTCTTATGTGACCTTTCAAAACACTTCGTTACCTTTTAAGATCTTTATTCAAAGGATATTAACAATGTAATTAAGTTACAAGTAGATTTTATTCATTTAACATCATAGTAATGGGAATCTTCCGTTCCATAGAAAACTATACCTGAAATGTACAAGAATAAATGTATGCTCCCTGACTAACTGCTTTGACCAGTACTTACGCATTCTCCTATTGCCAATCGACGTTGGAGATCCGAAATTCCTCGCTAGGTTGAAATAGTTGTTATTGTTTGTTTCTCAGTT